CCGGCCGGGGCGGGGGGAAAACGGGGGGGTGGGATCCCTTTCCGGGCACGAAAAAAAAAAAAAAAAAAAAAAAAAAAAAAAAAAAAAAAAAAAAAAAAGAATAAGTAAATAGTAAATATTTGTGGAATTAAATTGAAAAAGAACAATACATGTTTGAAAATCCAAGGGCAAAGCCTCATATAAAAACTTGGAGCATAATAAATACAGTCACTGCAATGTGCTAACCAATTGATCCAGATTTGCAAAACAATGGTATTTTTAAAAACCATACTGAGAATTGTATCAGCCTGTTCAGAAGGCCACATATAGAAAATATGTTAGTGGTATAGGTAACACAAATTCAAATGTTTCTTACACATCCTGCCAGAGTTTTACATTCAATCTAAATAAATTATGACTTGTTTGATTAGTTATGCCTGTGCAGCCAACTCAAAATCAAATTATTTATATAAAACAAGGGACATTAGTTGGATATATTGCAAATAGAATTTTACAAATCATAAAATTTCTCTTATTTTAAGTGTGAAATAATTCACTCTTTTATTTCATTGTTGTCTTTGTTTGCTATTGTTTTTATTCAGGTGACAAAGGGGAAAAGGGTTTGCTTGGGATTCCTGGAGGAAAAGGCAAAGCAGGTATAATACACTCATTTTTCTCTTTGATTTCTAGCATCATTCCAAATGTATTCATCTCAAAACTAAATCCATTTTTAAGGAAAAATAAAAATTCTTTCAATGTGCTTAACTTTATTTTCCTTGGGTTAGAAGAAAGGGAAGAAGGGAACATTCCCCTCTATCTCCTGGTGACTTTCCAAGTCCTGGGAAGGGGATGGTGACACATTCCATCCCTGCCATGCTGAGTAGAAGAAACAAACCCAGCACATAGGGAAACAGCCCTCAGTTTCCTGGACCAAGAGGAAAATCCAGCAATAGCACCTAGAAGAATAGAAGGTATTCTATTTATCATTGCTATTTATCATGCCATGGCTTCTATTCCACCAGCATCTCAACAAAACACTGGCCAGCAAGTCTCCAAGATTACAGAGCACACGTTCTATGGCCAGGGAGATTCTCCCTGAGCACTGAGAGTTTTCTGTTCAGGGTTTTATGCTGGAAAAGAGAGGAGATTGCCCTTTGGGAATTTCAGCTGTTTCCTTCCATACTACTACCAATAATAGTGAAGACTAATTTTAAGAATTGTTTTACATTTTCTATATTTAACTGTAAATATGGATAAATAAAGCCATAGATTTTTTGTCTGATAAAATTATTTTTTTACTTTTTGCACTACAAAAGAAAAAAGCAAATAGAAATGTATACATGAAACAGTCATTAAACAGAAAATGGAACCATTTAGATTTTGCATCATTTTCCTTGCAATTCTTCCTCCGTCACAACAATATCAGTAGGTAGATGAAAAGGTAGGTGAGCAAAGGGGAAAGAGAGATAAATTAAAATCATAGTTAATTCACAAACTGGACAACTGGCTCTTAAAATTCTAAGTTGGATCTACTTCCAGAATTTGAACTTAGTCCTTGAAACACGCAGCTATACTTCAAATTGATAACCAGAATTAACATTTGACTTAATCATGAAAAGGTTCTCCTGTCTTGGGAAAATTGTAGGAGCTAGTGAATAATGAAGTAACAGAAGAGAGAACTGGCTGGAAATATGTTTTACAGAAGCTGTAAAAATTTTATTCTGAGATTGGGCAGACATGTTTTGTGTTCAACAAAAATGCCAAATGGTTCACAATGTGCGTGCAGTAGTTTATCAAATTTATCTTCTTTTTAAAAATATAGTTAAGAATTGTCTTTTGTCTCATTCAAAATATTTAAAAAGATATTTTCTGAATTTCTAAAGATAATGTAAATTAGAAACCTTGCTTTAAATAAAAGATTACAAGTATAGCCACTCACAGATATAGCCAGACTAGAAAAAGATAGTAAATATTGGGACAAGAGCAAATGTTCTTCGCAACTGGTCTGCATGTACTTCAACATTAATTCACAGTTTTTGTCATTCAAAAGGCACTGTCTGTGATTGTGGAAGATACCGGAAAGTTGTTGGACAATTGGATATTAGTGTTGCTCGGCTCAAGACATCTATGAAGTTTGTCAAGAATGGTAAGCATATTCTCTTCTGCTTTGTGCTATACTCATATATCTATCAATTTAGTCTCTTTAAACACTACAATTCTAATACTGCTAGGAGGAAATACCCTGTGTTGAGCAAAGGCCTGTTGAGTTAGCGTCAGCAGTTTAAAGGTCTCTCAAAATGCTAATTATCCACTCAGAATCACAACAGGTCAAGTCCACTACATATTTATATATATATATGTGCATTGCCTACCAGTAGAAAAAGGTACTTTCCTAAGAGAGGGGAATAGAGAAAAGAGCAGAGTTTGGCAAACTGTGTCTTAAGAATAAAAAGGGATAGCAAGAATCAGAAAATACAAGTAATACAAGCATCTCAGAAAATACAAGTAGTATGGGCCGACCCTGTGGCTCACTTGGGTGAGTGCGGCGCTAGGAGCGCAGCAGCGCTAGGAGTGCCAAGGCCACGGGTTCGGATCCTATATAGGACTGGCCGGTGTGCTCACTGGCTGAGCGCGGTGCGGGCAACACCAAGCCAAGGGTTGCGATCCCTTACTGGTCACAAAAAAAAAAAAAAAAAAAAAAAAAAAAAAAAAAAAAAAATAAAAGAAAATACAAGTAGTATTAACAACAATAGCTACTTTCTTGAGTACTTGGAATAGTGCATAACTACTAGTATTATCTCACTGAATCTTCATAGTAAGTGTTATAATGTAGGTACTATGATTAAACTGAAGCTTAGAGAGAGTACCTTGGCCATAGATACAGACCTGATAAACAGTGGAATGGGGATTTGAATATAGGTTTCTCTGACTCCTCTACCCACAGTACAAATCAATGAGAATATTATGCATTCCTCTAAGTTTTGCAACTTCCCATTTTAGTCATTTTTTTAATCCCTTGTTCATTTCCCCATACTACTAGTAAAGCCCTTAAAGTGGAAAGAGCTTATATATTCCTTTCTGAGACAGTATTAGTGAGGGAGCTATTGTAGTTACTGTTACAATGGGTTTCATTTTGTTGTACTTTCACTTACTGTAATCCATCTATATTAGCTGTATGTTGTTGTAAGCACATAGATGCCATCTTGTGTTTGTCTTCATCTTGTGATACTAGCAGCATAGGAAATACTTGATATTAACCAGCCACCCTATTTATAGCTCTGGTTGTAACCCATACTGAAGATTCCATCTCTGACTTAGATTGTCATGAATTAACCAGATCTCAAAGATATACCATAGAGTGGTATATACCATAATATTTTAGTGGTTACAAACTTTTTTGTGTGAATTAAAGTTATAGATCCTAAAATGTGTATGCCTTGTGCCATATTATGAGCTCAGGATGATTCTGAGTCTCCATTTTTGTCCTGAAGCTTACTCAGTAGCTGTCTCCCTCTTGTACCTGGGATGAAGTATGAACAATCTCAATCAATGTACATGCTCACAGCCCAGGAATTTGGCCCAAAGTGGACAAACTTCTGTATCATTCCTATATTATTTTAATAAGCATTTACCATCCCCTGCAATATTCCAAGCACTGAGGTCAGAGAGTATCGACGACATGGTCATTGTCTTCAAGACATTCATAGCTGAGTAGGAGAGACATGCAAGCAAAATATTAGATAAGAATGTGTTGAGTGCTATAAAGGAGGAAGGGGAAGGACAGTGGAATCACAGAGAAGAGCACACAAGAAGTCCCATGTCTGTCCAGGAGTGCTGGAGAGACTTCTTACAGGACAAGACATTTCCACTGAGATCTAAAGGATGAGTAAGAGTTTGCCAGGTAGAGAAGCAGTGAGAAGACTTTCCAGGCATAAAAGCCATGGAAATTAAAGAGAAAAGGACATACTCATGGGACTACATGTATGGCTTACGGCATGAGCTAGGTTGAGAAAAATACGCGAGGTCTCCAAAAAGTTCATGTAAAGAGTTGTATTATCTTTTAATTTGATTTTTCCATGAACTTTTTGAAGTAACCTCATAGCATGAGATGAGCTGGGTGGAAGTTCACGTAACAAGACTTTGTCAACATAGCTCTCTGCTGGACAACTATGTGGGAGTTTAAGGAGGAAGGGAAGGGAGGACAATTTGATAACTAGAAAGGAGGAGAAAAAATTAAACCAGTGACTCCCTTATAATAGGGCCTTGCAAAGTAATTCTTGAACATTGAATGAATGAATTTAAATCTGGAAATGTTATATACTTGCCTTTTCTCTTTTCAAGATATATAATGATATTCTCCCCTCTCCCCACCCCCCTTCCCCTCCACCCTGCAAAGTCATAGCAGGGATTAGGGAAACCGAAGAGAAATTCTACTACATCGTGCAGGAGGAGAAGAACTACAGGGAATCCCTGACCCACTGCAGGATCCGGGGCGGAATGCTAGCCATGCCCAAGGACGAAGCTGTCAACACTCTCATCGCTGACTATGTTGCCAAGAGTGGCTTCTTCCGGGTGTTCATTGGTGTCAATGACCTTGAAAGGGAGGGGCAGTATGTGTTCACGGACAACACTCCACTGCAGAACTACAGCAACTGGAATGAGGGGGAGCCCAGCGACCCCTATGGTCATGAGGATTGTGTAGAAATGCTGAGCTCGGGCAGATGGAATGACACAGAGTGCCATCTTACCATGTACTTCATCTGTGAATTTGTCAAGAAGAAAAAGTAAATTTCCTCATGCTACACATTTGTTATTTCCCCATGACTACCATTACAGTTATTTTTATCCATTCTTTTCTTTCTAACTACACTAAGTCCATTCTGACTCAAGACGAGTAGAAAGTGCTAAACTGAGGTTTGGAATCTCTATCACCATGCTCTTCTGTGATGACTTTGACATTTCATACATGGTATATTATCGACCCAATAGCTCACCAGGTACATAGGTCCTGAGAAAGAGTTTGAATTAGTAATTGTGCAGTATATGGTTGTCTGTATCAGAAATGAAATGTCTTCTTGGCATTTGTTCTGCCACCTCTCCCCAGAGCCCTAACCACTCTCTAGCCCAGTGGATAACTGCATACTTGTTTGGTGATGATTAGCTTGGTTGGTGTTGATTTGGCTAACCTGCCCTTGCCCATATAGGAAGGCCTTCTGTGAGTAATGTCAAGATATTATCTATCTTTGAGCTGAAAATGCCCAATTCTTTGACTAGTCACTCACCATGGCCATGGCCATACTTGCAAAGCCCTCTTCTTTGCACAAACATAGAAATGCTTTAATCCCAAAGCTCTGTATGAAGAACTTTTAGCCTAATGACCTGCTCCAGAACATGTGGAACCATAGAGACTCCTTTTGTGCTTCTGATCTACAACCTTCACTAAAGTATATCAAGTAGGTGCCTTGAAACCCTTTCTATACGCCCACACATTAATCTTAGGTCCCTCAGTATTGATCCTCTCATTTAAGGAAAAGGGAACTCTGAAATTGAAAAGAAAAAAAAATAGGGTTTGTTCCCAAACGATATTATTTATAGTCCTCTTGCTAAAGTTTTCCATTATTAACATGACTTGATTTTTTTTTTCCTTTGGCCTTAGGTTTACCTGTATCAACTTTCCTCCTCTTAGGCATGGGGAATAAGGGAAGGGGTTTGTGAAGCCGTCAAAAAACTTTAGAAGCTTCAAGCTGTTTCCAACATTAAGTCTCCAAGCCCCCTCCTCCTTGACTTTAATATATCACTCATGGTGAAATTTCATGGGAGGTGCTTTACTCTCCTTATATTTATGTTGTGTAAAAACTCATACCAGAAATACCCTTTCTAGTATTCTGACATCACAAGAATGTGTCAGGCATGGAGTCTGGAACATGCATAGACTCACACTTACTGAGCTAGTAAAATTCTTCCTTTAACTGAAGATCAACCCTCAAAGCAACTTTCACTTGGAATTTAAAAATAAACAGTTCAATGAAACTCTAGATTGTCCCCTTATAAACTTCTGTTCCACTTATAGTTTATGACATATGATTAGACTGTTTAAAATGCTGGCAAAATAGTTAATGAAATAAGAGAAACAGATCAACAACATATGTTCACCTTAAACCATCTGTTCATGATTTCACTGATGACTAACTGGTTATGAGGTAGGATTTAATTAGGTTATTTTTGTGGGCTCAACAAGGGTCACAAACTCAGATCCTACAGGGACCACACAGAAGACATAAATAAATGAGGTGGAAAGGTGGGGACCCTCGCACAATGAACACGGCTCGCCCTCTTGAAGGAGCCAGTTGCTTCTCAGTCTGTTACTGCTGCCTTGGGAGACTCAATGTTGCTACATATTCTGATATTTCAGGAGAAATCAGAAAGCTGGACCTTTATAAGATACATTCATATTTTTAAATGTTGGCAACTCATCAATTTTTAATGCAGATTTTAACTCATACAAATGTCTGCTAGCCAAAACTGTGACCTTTCCATTTCTCACCTCTGGAGAAGAGTTCTCAAGGTTCTAACCACTTAGCATGTCATTAGGATATGATAACATCTAAGTCAAGCTATCCCCATTAATACTTTACTCAATTCAGCTCAATCACAGGAATTCGTTTGACATTTATCATATTGTTAAATAGTTTCTTAGACTTTTTTGAGAATATTTTGAAGGCAGGGAATTTTAATAAAAATTACAAAGCAGGACATCATATCAAAGCCAGTATCCTTGGGTAGAATGCCAGCCAGGATCATAAGGAATGAGAACCCAGAGACACCTGGAAGAAAAGAAAGGGATTAGAAGTGAAGGAGCAAACGTTGCCTAGGGGTAGCTACTGTTGGAATCCATGCTCTGATTTGTTCTAAGCCCCCTGAAGTATTAATATTTATTGTGTGTAGTGTAAGTGCCATTATTATTTCTATTATGAATATTATAATAATAACCACAGTTCTCGCAATGACTCATCTTTGCTCCAGTGCTTCCAAGAGAAGATAACAGAGTTTCAATGAATACGATTTATCCTGCACCCTTGCCTAGAAGAAAGTTTGAAGGCACCACACAATTAATTAGAATTACTATGCAAGTCCACATTCATGAAGCACTTTGTGCTTTAAAAAATGACTTCTCATATAAGTATTTGAAGCTAAGCATTTTACCAAAATCAACTTATTTGAAAGAAAAGCAGGCCTCCAGCCTTTTGGTGGAAACTGCTAATCCAGTGTTTTCTCCAGCTTCTGTCCATTGATCTTATATGGAAAGAAAGTTCATCTACTACGGCTTTGTAATAGCAGGGGCTCGTCTGTCTCACATTCCAAAGTTAAAGATGAGAGTTAATTACAGAAATACTGGGGAATCAGAAGTTTGCCTTACAAATTCTATGTTTACTGGTTTATTTTTTAGATTTATGAATGTCTATCTGTGGCATTAGTGTTGTGGAGGTGACAGTTCATACAGCCTCAGTACAATTTTGCAGATAACTAAAAATATAGGGAAATCAAATCAGATATATGACAATCAAGATTTGCCCAAAATAAAAATAAGCAAGTAATTATTTTCCCCATAGAAGAATTTACTAGGAAGTCCGTTAAATAATTAGCATTTAAAGTTAATTTCATTCTCAAAAACTGGAATTTATACTCAACTTTTCAGGGACATGTCTTGGTACCTCCCAAGGATTACATAAAATTCCAAAGGAAGAAAATAAAAAAGATATTGACAACCTCACGACACAACTTTTCAAAACAACACATTCTATAACCTGGCAAGAAGAAATATCTTGTCTAAAGTCATTGACCGAACATAGTAGAAAGGTGTACACCCTTGTTTTAAAGAGAGATAGCAAACATCGATTACACTTTGAACAATTCACCCATGAAAACTGCTGGCATTAAAATAAAAATGTATTTTGTTTTGCTTACATTCGTTTACCCAAATACAGGCTGCTCCGATTGCCACTGATCAACTAATTTCCAGCCTTCTGGATTGCATACTTTCAGGCCATGAGATATCTGTGAAACAGGAAAAGTAAACTAAGCAGCATCACTCACGACATAACCAACAGACTGAGACTGAAACTTTGCAGGTATCAGTGACAGAAAAGAGATGGTTTGCCTGGCTAGTTAGCTTAGTTGGTTAGAGCTCAGTGTTATAGCACCAAGGTCAAGGGTTCAGATCATGGTATAGGCCAGCTGCCAAAAAAAAAAAAAAAAGATTGTTTGATTTTATGCAGGGTAACATTGCTTTGACAGCATCACTTAGAAATTCAAAATATAGATCTGCTGTCATGACTTCCTGAATGTCAATGCCAGATGTGCCACTTACTAGTAATATTAGGAGACTATTTTAAGTGCTGTACACCTGTTTTTCTAATCTACATTGTTCTTCCCACAGAGTGTTGTGACATTTAAAGGAAATAATGTAATGAAGTATTCCACAGAGTGCCAGTTAGACATGTTGTATAGGTTCAATAAAAGTTAGCCATTACATGTACTACCAGCTACATGTTGAAAAGAAACAAACTGTGTTTTAAGATATATTAAAATATCACCTATGTGGATATATACGAGTATACTCCTATATCACATATTACTATATATATAGCATATATATATAAGTATGTGTATAGCATATATATGTATATACTAAGTGTGTGTGTATGTATGCACAACAAGGTAAATCTTTTTATCCTTATTTATAAATAAAATTTTTTGTGGTTACTAAAGACTGGGAAGGGGAAGGAGAGAGGGAATAGGGAGAGGTTGGTTAATAGACACAGAATCACAGATAAACAAGAAAACTAAGTTCTAGTGGTCTACAGTAGTGTTAGGAATCTATAATTAACAATAATACGTTGTATGTTCTAAAAGGCTCTCATCACAAAGAAATGATAAAGTTTTGCAATGATGAATATGCTAATTACTCTGATTTGATCATCATACATTGTATATATGTATTGAAACATAACTCTGTATTCCATAAATATGTACAATCAGTACATGTCAATTAAAAAATAAAATATATATAAATAAAATTTTTATCTTCAGGGAAGTTAATAAATTTGCCAAAATTTGGACTGCTTTTCAGAATTAGAGCTGAGGTTCATAACTAGATATGATTGATTTTAAAAGAATCTATACTTTTTCTAGTATGCAGTTAAACCTAGGTTTAACACATAAAAATTAACTATTTTTAAATCTAAAAATGAAGTCATTGGCTCATATTACCTTGAGATTGTAAGAACTTTTAATATAACTATGTCCTTTAAAATTTGAGGTTAAAAATCTGTCATGTCCTTTCAAATAGGGATTGAAAGAAAAGAACCATCTTCCACAGATAATGTACACATGAATTTTTTTATAAATATAGAATTTTATTTTACTGTCCCCCTAAAAGTTGGTCACACAGTCTGTATTTCAACATTTTTTGGTAATTCGATAAGCCTATTAGAAAGTTATTCCCTGTACTGAACTAATATACTCTTTTCCCTGATTTCTGCTGATTATCCTTATTCTGCCTTCTGCTGTTCATAACTCTGAGAGTTCTGACCCTCAGACAAGCAGGAGCAACAATAACAGGCTCTTAAGGAAGGACCCATAAGGATGGAATAACTGTCCTCAGTATGGCCCTGGTCATCAAGTTGTATATCCTGTACTAGACATTTCTCAAAACCTAGATGGTATGCTGTACATCCGATGAAATCAGATTTTGTTGGTGAGGTATAAGAAAAACAGATGTAGAGTTTAAATGCTAGACAAAGTCGAGGGTGGCATCTCAAACATAAGTAATCTATTTATTAGGAGGGGATACATTGTGGACAGTGTTCAACCACCAGAGGAGCAGGCTGTTTAGAGATCGGTGGCTCAGGGCAGGTGTCCAGTCCCAGTG